CTACAATACATTTCTAAGAATCCTTCACAGTAGAGCTGCCGTCACAAATCAAGGAAATGAAAAGCTCTCACATTATCTTCATACTGTTTGCAGCAGAAGTGGCAGCAGTGAATGAAGCAGGACAAAGACAAACAAAAGAAGAGTTTAAATTGCAGAAACAAATGCAAAACCACAGAAAAAATAAAATCGATTTGTTACAAATCCTACTTGTGGTTGCCGTTAAGTGGTTGAAACCCAATCTTTTCTCATATTAAAAATAAGGTTCGTAAACCGGGGATACTTTCAGAGATGGAGCCAATAACAAAAGGTAAAAAGGTAATGTAAAGAGGTGGAACCTTAACATGGCATTGTTAAAGCTATGATGCCATCCAACCCATTTCATATTGTTATAAACTGCATGCCATTTCACATCACTAAATGTTGTTAAATACAGCTAAAATGTTGCAGGGAGTTTGACTTATTACATTAGGATAGGCTGCCAAATGATTACTGACATTGTGTATGAAAGCTGGTGAAACCTGGTGTAATGAAACCATGCCATATTTTTTCATTAATCTGTTGGGTCAAAAAATAGTAATGTTACAAAATTGTTGCTTTTTAAACCAGAATGCTGACAAAACTTCTAGACAAACAGCTTCTGCAACATCTGTGCTTCATTCGATTTTACTAGACCGTTTACTGACATTTCGCTAATACAAACAGAGAAGAAGCACATAGCATCCAGCAGTCAGCTGAGTATTTACTGACGGTACGATGCCAGTGTCATGGCAATTCCAACATCAGAAATCACAAAAGTCACTTATATTTTAAGGAAATTAAACAAAGACTCGGGGATTGTAAACACTAACTGTGTGTCAGTGATTCTGTTTCACACTGGAAAATAATCAACAGCCAGCTTGTCACTCCCCGCAACCTGCCAAGAGTAGGAGTGGAAGCACTGACACATGTAACTGACATCTCAGATTTAATTTGACTGGTAATCACACCCAGCTATAGTTTCAGAGCATTTCACACATCTGAGCTACAGTTTCAGGTGTTAAGCTGGTAAGGAGACACGCGACTGTGCCTCTGCATGATAACACCTTCTCAGAGAGGGTCACATTTTAGGTTTATGCTCCGAGATTATGATTAGAATAATGATAGCAGAAGAAAGTTAGACACACACACACTTTGTTGCTTTACAATTAAAACACAATCAACACACATTTTAAGCTCGCCTTTACTGCTCAAATACATTTATTTCAGTTCAGCGGCTCTTTGAAACAAATTATGGACATGTATGCTTCACTGCATGTCACCTTGTTGTGATTCTTGTCTGAATACTAAACCATGAATGGATCATTATGACTTCTAAAGAAAGACAATATCCTATTAATGCTCCTGTCTTTTGTCATATGGAAAAAAGCTTGATATGGATAATCATGCAGTAAATAAAACAAAAGAACAAATCAGAACGCCCTAACTTATCAGTGTATGTTGAGGCAATAATTACTCCACACTGTTCTCCTAAAACACCTCTAACAGAGCCAAAAGCAGGTAAATGTTCAGAAACTTTAGAATTATTATGCTGACAAGCTGCACACTAAACGGATCACATGAGGGGAGAAGCCTTGGTAAGATTTTGTGAGTCCATCTGACACACACTGCCGGAGGGGATATGTCTCCATTCTCAGCAGCTTTCTTATTGTTTTGGAGCCGTTAAAATCTTCACTGTTTGTGCGAACTTAAGCAATAATAATTTTCAAGTTAACCAACTTTATTTCTGTAAGAATTTTTTTGCCTTTGGTGTTTCAGCTCTTTTGCCTGTTTTACTTGCTATGATCAAGTATTACTGGAAAAATGCAATAGCCAAGCAACCAAAAATGATTAAGGCTGCAAATGTCACTGGGCCAACTTGACCACACTCGGTCATCAGTAAATGCAATCCACACAGATGTAAGGAAAAGAAATGACCACGCAGAATGAAATATCATCTAACTCCATCTCTTTCTGCTAACACACACTGTACAAGCAGCACTTTTCTTAACCTGGGATCCACCAATAAGACCAGGTTAGCTAACTTATTTATTTATATTAAAATCAAATCACTGGAAGAGTAATGAGAACGCAAGCGTAAAAATGTATTTCTGCAATTTAACTGAGTGAAGTGGTCTGATCACCTCACTTTTGCATATTTGATGAATATCACAGGAGCCTTTTTGTTTGAAATAATCCTGCAGATTGTGAGAAACAAGCTGTTTCAGCTTCCTCTCATTGAACCGCCTTTTTCTGATTGGCTCTCTCTCCCAAACAAAAAGATTTAAAAAGCAGGTGGGTGGAGCTTCTGTTTGGCTAAAGCCCTACCCATGTTCCATATTAGGGTTGTCCGCCCTTTTAGACTATAAAAAATAGTCTATGAAACTTGTTTTATGAAATATATTAAAGAAGCTAATTATTATTTTCTGAAGCTAAAAAGTATTGTCAGCATATTTTAGAGCTGATTTTCTTGTTGACAAACAGATCACGTGTCATTTTATGTGACTCTCAAAACAGAGCATCAGTTTAAAATCAGATTCGTAATCCTCATTATAAAAATGTGACAAGGCATGAGTATCGAGGTAATACATCAATAGTAAGTAATAAATCAAGTATTTGTTTTAACCTGTTAAAGAGGGTTTTGACTCTCTGGGGCCCCAACAGAAAATGATAGAGCAATATTTACAATATCAAGCACAAATCAAGTTCATTATTTACTGGTTTCGGAAAATTTGTAGGCAAGAAAAAAAACATAATTTTTACACTAATCAGTGATGAAAATAATTAGTCACAACCCCGATATATTGTCAAGGCATGGCTGTATAGCTTTGGTATAATTCGCTAGACTTCCTTGTGGGTAGAAATCACACTTAAGCATCACCACAGTTATCAGGAACAGGCGATATCCACGCGTTCCCTCGTTATTTTTAAATTGAACACAAAAATGGTAGAGCAGATCAGCTACTGATTGGAAGGTCGGTGGTTCGATCCTTGGCTTCCCCAGTCTACATGTCAAATATCCTTGGGCAAGATACTAACCCCAAGTTGCCCTCCGATGCGTTCATCGGAGTGTGAATGCGTGTGAATGTAGATTACTTTGCACTTGTGTTTAGAAGTGCTTGTATGAATGGGTGAATGAGGCATGTTGTATAGAGTGCTTTGAGTACTCCGGGAGAGTAGAAAAGCGCTATATAAGAATCAGTCCTTTCACCATTTACCAAAAATCAGGAAAAGCTTTGTCAAAGAGGATTAAAATTTAAGAAATATGTCAACTGGAGCTAAAATGTCCTTAGTCAGTTAAGCAGTTACTAGTTTAACAAAATATTTTGCACCACATTACATAAAATATTGGACAAAAATGCTAAAAAAAAATATTTTGTCTCAAGCTTTAAATGTAATGATTTCCTGCTTTTCACTGTTTTATGCAGTAGTTGAGCATTTGCACTGCTGAGTGGCTAAAACAAGCCCTCACTGACGTCATCTTGGACTCTGAAAAACTGGGTTGGACATTTTCACCATTTTATGTGGTTTAGAATAATGAAACAATATCTGGTTTCAGGCCCAGTGGAAACTGAACTGGGCTTGAAATGTTCACCACCAAGAGAAACACTACAGTGGTCCAGTCAATGTGGTTCTATGAAAACCTCCCGTCTGATATATTCCTGCAAATTCTTGGTCGGAGCATCTGATTACTAAAATATCTCATCTCTGCAGCTGTTCCTCAGCTGAGTTGCTAATTCAGGCCAGTGTACTCCCATTTAAGAAGTCCCACGTGTCTTCATTTATAGCTGTGTAAGCAGCCAGCCAGGCCAACAGAGAACACGTAACTGTTTGCTATGCTGTGCATTCAGGGACTTCAGGCATCTTGGTTAAAATATTTGACCTTGTCAAGTGACATATAATCAATTTGTGGATAACATGCCTCAACCATCTGATTTATTTAGTCGAGCAGTTGACTCCTTTACTCTCTGCGGTATACTAATGCGGTAAAACCAACACTAGGCTGTTAAGCTGCAGCTGCCTTCTTTCTATAGCTGTTTAAGCTCCTCCTTAGACACCTGCAGGGAGTGATGGACTCACTTATGTAGGTCTACACTTTGATTTGACTAAACCTCCAGCATAAAGGTGATAACAGGAATGTGATGCACACTCACAGCAAAAAATTGTAAAACCCTAAAATCACAGGAAACACTCATTATAAATATAAATCTGAGCTCATAACTAAACAAAATTATAATAAAGCAATGTTTCTCCAAACGCCACATGAGGCGCCCTCTTGATAAGTTCATTGTTGCTTTTCAGGAAAGAGTTTTCTTACTGTATGTTCATCTTGACTGGGTGTTGTGGGTTAACTGATTAACAGAACTTCCTCACCTCTCACCCAGTGACAGCTAGTACAGGCTTCTGCTACAGGATGCTGTATCGTTCCAAGTACACTACATGCATTTAGTTCATAGCCACTGCTATGACTCAAGGTCAAATGCAACCTCACTCATGCGTTCATCTATTCCCTTAACGAATGCTTCTCCAGTAGTGTTTTTCCACTGTATTGCCAGCTCAGCCACTAAAAGCCCAACTTAGGGTCTAAACCCTGCATGCTCTTTGAATTAAATTCTATTTTAGCCACTGGCAATTCTGGCAGCATAAAACTTTCTTAGTGTCCTGCATCACTCAGTTTGCTATGTCTTGTTCTTTTCAGCAAAAAGCTCCCTAGCTAAGAGCCGTGACTTTACTTTGACTGGCTATGCGACAGCGAGCTTGCTGCTCTTCCCACAGACGGAGAAACTCCAGCAGCGATATCTTGGACAAAGAGTGAGTGTCGCAATAGTGAAGCAACTTAAGTTAAGGTAAGACTACAAAGCTGCCGCCTGTTATCACTCACTGCGGTGTTTTGCCTTCACAGCGACCTACGACATAAGTGACACATCACCGACTAATGGCCGCACCTGCTACGACGTATCCCTGCGCGCATCTGTAACACCTACCTCAGGACGAGCGCTCATGTCTTCAAGTTTGTCACTGCGCCTGACACCGTCTTCTCTCCCTCTATTAGACTGTCGCCATTTTGCTGTAAAAGCACGCAGGTTGCACTCTGGACTGCAGGAGAGGGGTGTTCACGGTAGGAGGTAGAGAAACGAGCGTCATCCGAACTGCACACCTACACCTTGTGTCCACCTTAGTCCAAAGAAAACGGCGCATTTGCACTGTTAGATTATCAAACGTCCTCGAATTTGACATTGTAACAATTAGTGAATGGCATAAATGACCTTGACCTGATTATGAATATTTTTGAGCTTACCTGCTCTTACAGAAACACGCACTTTATAATAATAATAATAATAATAATAGTAATAAGCTCAAGACGTTTTAGTCGCATTAGATTAAATTTTGCATTACATTTTTAATCGAGATGCACGTATCCTTTGATACACTGTGCTTCCCCAAGCTGAAATAAAAACTTGAAGTGCAAGCAGGACAGGACAGAAGGGGTTAAATGTCTCATAGTGTATGTGACCTTGAACTGCATTTGAAAATGCATCCAATGAATGAGTGAATATGGTGGAGGAAAAATGCTTCTGTTGTATATTTAATGTCCAATTGGTCTTGTACAAGTAAAGCAGTGAGCTTTAACCCTCATTTAAATTGTAGCATAATGACGCAGAATGCATTATTAATACCGTCTCATGTTTTCTCAAGTGTTATTTCCATGTTTCCACTGGAAAACCACGAAGCTTATCAAACTTCATGAGTCAGGGGGAAGAAAAGCGTGTCATCACGTGCTTCAGAGAAGTGTGGTGGTATTTATTAACATTTTTGTTAATGTTGCCTTACTCCACATGGTTCCTTTTAGACAATCCAGGGCGTGTGATTAACGAACCTCAGACGCTGAAGAAGATCTCTGGATGGCGTGCAGAAGATTTTAGCAAACATATCCAAAAGACTGGTGCAATCTTACTGCATAAATTTCACTTAACTTAACTCTAGAGTCTAAAAAACACCTCAGTCTGAATATTATGATTTTGCTTCATAGCAAAAGCTCAGACTTAATAGTGGATTTTAAAACTTACTGTTTTTATTGTGTGAAGTAATGTCTTTGACCATTGCATTTGGGGAAACCCAGCCTGCGTGTGGTGCCTGCATCACTGCTGGAGTGGTAATTCTCATGTTCACAAACTTATGAAATATTAATTGGATTAAGCAAACAACTAACAAATCTTTCAGTGTACATTGCTCCAGTGATTGCTATTATCAACAAGAGATAGTCTGCAGACAACAGAAATTTCTCCAGATCTGTTGCATATTTATAGAGTGGGCGAAATATGACTTATTTATCTTTGCTAAATTATTAAAAGTGTGGAATGCAGATCATTAATCATTAATATTGATATATTGCGAAACTGTAAGACATAAATATTTGTGCATAAATATTTATCTACTCCATGCCAGTGTGTATTAACTTTTGGTTTAGCGCCTTATTCAACAGAGATATGTTTCTTTCAGAGATATTTCCAAGTCACTTACTGTATTTGTGCTTGCCTCGCTGTGATCTGAGCTCGTCATTGCACCCACCTAGATGGCAGAAAACACAAAGCAATTCCGAGGAGCGTGTTGTCTTTTTGTGTGAGATATAGGGATTGACACAATCCCTCTGTTTTCAGAGCATGAAGTAATTCTTTTAATGGCCTGCCAACTGCGCACTCCAAAGTTTGATTTTGCTCTGCAAAATGAGAGCAAAAATCTCGAACAATTTATTATGCTGTTTGTGCCTCGCTTCGCTAGTTATCGTCTGCAATTTATTTCCTACCTTGGGGTACTGCGAGCCATTTTTCTCCATTTTCAGTGGCTCACTTTTTTTTTTCTTGATCCTGCACGCTGCTGACTAAACTCCTGCCTCCAGCCATGGTGTTGGAACATCACAGAAAACTACATCATTATGCTGAAGCTGGTTAACAAAGAGAGGCAGACAACCAGTTTAAATCACGGGGCACAAGACAGTATGCGAATTACCAAGTTCACCACGTCAGATGCAGCAAATTCATATATTCTCTCTCCAGCAGCGCAGGTGAACTGGCTCGCTAATGACAACTGCTTCACACCTCAGTCTGAATTCAAGGTCAGCACCTGACCACTCTGCGGCATTTTAAATTCTATTTTTTTCAATTATAAATCAAGCTCGAGTTGAAACGTGAGTCACACGTCTGCATCAGCTCAGAACCAGCGATGACCTTTTTCCCAGACATTTATTAATACGTTATTTACACCTGCGCTGTTATTGCTGCGACACGTCGTTAAAGGCAGTATTTCCGAGAAAATTGTGATTTATTAGTGATTTAAAGTGGACACGGTGACGCAGATAAAGCCAGAGTATAGAAACTTTTCCCAGTTCTGCACACAAGCTGCAGATATTGCAGGTGAAAGAGCAGGAGCATCATAAAACAGATTTTAAAATGAAAAGGAAACAGCAACTACAGCACCGCAGCCTGACATTATAAACAGTAACCATTATTCAGTGTCTTATTTACTTGTTTCAATGGGAGAAATGTCAATATATTAATACAAGAAATTTACATTTTGCTGTTTATATACTGGGGAAAAAGGAGGAAGAATAACTTTTTAGACCTCACTACTGAGAGCTGCACATCAAATGAAAGTTTAAAAGTATCTTCGGAGCACCCAAAGATGGCCAGGTCATGGCTGAGCCTCGTTTCTCTGAATGACATTTGAAAATTACAGACCAGAAGTCTCATAATGTAGGGCAGAAAGAAAGAAGGAGTGCTGTTAAGCCTTCGGCTGAGCACCACTTATCACACTCAGACACACTCTGAAGGTGCAGTTCAGCTTTTGAGTAATGCAGCCTGTGCATCGCTTTGTACTGAATCAGTCTGTGTTGCATGTTAGCTTTGTCTGTGTATGAATATACATTATATTATTTGATTATTTTTTAATGATAGCAATAAATCAGGTTTTATCATCATAATGTGGAAGAGTCCAAGTGGCTCAAAGCTGAATTCATGATATTTGTGGCTTTAATAACAGCTGTATATTATGCGCACCTCACATGTGTCCGTATCAGGTTCTAAAATGTCAGGTATATTGTAAGATAGTAATAAAAAAAATGTTTTGCACACCCTTTTCATTTCCACTTCAACCCTGCAGTTGGAGAAAATGACCACAAGGTGGCAGAGAGAAACTTAGTGTGTCCATCTGTACTGTGCCTTTTGAAATGAGTCTTATTAACTACCATTAAATCACTGCTCACAAATTGTAGTTTGATATGCAAAACGATTTTTAAACGCATATTATATGCTGTTTTAATCCGTAATATCAGTAAATATGGCATATTAGGGCTTTTAGTATTCTTAAGAGATTATCAGGCGCTCGTTGCCTGTGTGCTTATGCAGACTTTGAGCATTATCAAATATTAATTTTTCTAAACTTGGACTTTTAAGAGTAGCCCTTTGATGTAGATGTAATTTTTCATCTGCTAAGCAGATCTCACACAGCGGTATCTTTTAGAAAGCAGTGGGCCATAATTCATTGATGAGCCATGCGTGGAGCGCAGATATTCACGCCCTAATGCTTATGCAAGATCTTAAACAGTTCTCAGTTGTGGAATGGATATAACAGAGCGCTGAGCTGTTGGCCTCAGACTAGTTTCAAGGGCTAAGTAGAGGGCGAGGAAAACTGATCAGTGCGAGCTTTGTATTTATCAAAAATGCTTTTAAAAATCCAGATAAGTTATTTGGAACATGTGTAGACATTCGAAGAAATTAGAAGACATCATAACTTCACAGTTAGCGCTTTGAAAGCTACTTTTCCAAGTCTGTTAACAGCAGAAGGTCAAAGTGATTATTTTTTTTGTCACCGCTGTGAAAAAAACAAGCAGCGCTGCTTTGATTCTCGTCATGTCTGTTTGGCGCAGAAAAAATCAGGAAGAGTATTACAGAGGCAATTATGGCAAAAACAGAAAGTTTAAGGTTATCATTAGTAAATTATTCATTTCTGACAATGTTGGCCCTCGGAGTTTGGGAATTGATCTCTCTGTAAACACGCTAAAGCAAGTGAGATTGACATAAATTGCACAGACGAAGCCATCTTTTGAGCGCTCTTCTTTCTCTTTCATGTTGCCTCACTCTGGGGGCTGAATGTTGCTAATAAAAAATGGGAAGACCTTGGGCGAGTAACACAGGCTGATTAGTTCTGTACACGGGAGACGAGAAGTGCTTTGGAGTCTGCGATGATATTTGTTTTCTTTTCACAAGATATCTGAGGAAGAGAAATAAAGAGAATGCTTAAAGTTTCACCGATGTGTTTGTTCTCTTCAAAGCACAGAGAAATCTTGTGAGTCTGTGTCAGATGTTGTATGTGCATGCTCATTATTTCAATAAAGCCCATTTTGCCTCCTGTGATTGCTCCATAAAGAGAATAGTGGATGACCTCGGTTCTGTTGTTAAGTTAATGTTTTTGCACAAAGGAATAAGAGATGCTGGTTTGGATAACAGTGAGGTTACGGCAGGACCCCCCCTCCTCCCCATCTGCCTTGTTATCGGCCTGAAATGGACTCGATGAGTCCGCAGCAGAGTGTGGCCCTCTGGAACATGCTTCAGTTATTAATCACACAAGACAAACAGCACTCTTCTGTAAAGTTTTCCACTAATGGGATAATTGATTGACAGTCTTTGAGCTTTCATGCAGCTGTATTATTTACTGTTGCACTTGCATGCTGCAAACTCTTTCAATTTAATTGAGAAACAATTGGGTATAAGGGCAACGCTGCCATGGGGGGTATCAAGCGATGGGACTGTTTTAATGATTCCCCCTCCAGAAAAGTTAGATCCACAGTCAACTGAGTCTCTCTGCACTCTGATCTCGCAATGACTGTACACTATAGTGATTTTTATTGTTGATAGTGATCATCTATTCTGTGAAGTCCCATCCCAGTTGGAAATGTATTCAGCATGTGACGCTGGCAACTCTGTGTCAGTTTCAATATCACAAATGAATTCTTTTGTTTTCCAGACAGTAGTGGTGCAGGAGTTTCGCTTGTTTTTAGTGGGAGTGTGGCAGCATACCATGTACTTTTTCTGCTCTGAGGCCTCGGCCAGTTATTCCCCCAAACTTTGGCACGATGAGCGCATGCAACGAGCCAAGCAGCTTCCTGCACATCCGGCTGCTGTAATAAATGTGCTACAGTATGCTGGTCTGTACTGTACTGCTGTG